CTCCCTGGGGTGACGCTCCCTGCCGCCCAGGCTCCCTGGGGTGACGCTCCCTGCCGCCCCTGGCCAGGGTGGGGGCCGGGTGTCCACGCAGTTACCGCATTTCCAACAGTTTTTTCAACTGTACAGGAAGAATGCAACAGCCTCTCTGAGGCGAGCGAGTTCTTTGCCCAGGGGTCATTTTAATGAATTCCTCTTTCGGTCTTTGTCCAGCCAACAGTGTCCTTTTCTAATGTCTTCCATTCCTACCCGGCCCAGAAAGAAAAGAAACTATTATTTGTAGCTTGCTATTTGGAATTTTAGCAATTTTATACTTAGGTATCTTTGAAAAATGTAAATGACTCATTGGGTCATTCAATCTTGTGACATACTCAATATGAAAATGATATTAAAATAAAAGTCACAGAAACGCCTCCCCCTGCATCTGGCTGTGAAGTCTGGAGTGCACGGTGCTGAGCCTCTGAGGCGGGATCCACAGGGGCGCACGGTGGGGGGTGACGTGGGCTGACAGTGATGCGGACCGTGCTCTGTGCGCCCCGCGGCTGGCCGCCGGCCTCCGTGAGACAGGATGGCCCCGTTACTCAAGGGCAGCACCGACTCCTGCAGCTGCAAGGTCAACGCCGTGTCCTGCTGGTGGGCAGCACACACGGGCCTCCCAGCAGCACCTCTGTCCACGGAGGAGGCAACCGGAGAGAAACGCTGCCGCCATCCAGGTCAGCCAGACGCCAGACTTGCTTCCCCTGCTCCCCAGGACGGGAGCGCCTCTCACCTGCCTCCCCAGCACCAAAGCCAGAGCAGCACCCCAGCGACACTGCAGATCACCTCACTTCCTAGCGACCCCTAACCTGGCTCCAGGGTGTCCTGGGGACTCACAACTGGGACTTCAAGGTGTGGGAGCCTGCAGGCTGGGCAGCAGTCCCTGGGCCTGGGCCTCAGCTGCCCTCTGGGAGCGCCCCAGGGTCTGAAGGTGACTAGTGCCCATGCCTTATAAATAGGTGTGTGCCCAGGGGACTTCCAGAGCCAGCTTCCCAACCCCGTCCCAAGGCAAGGTGCCCATGGGTCACCCCTTGCCCCCAGACACAGGAGTGACTGACCCCGCAGCTGAACCCTTGGCCACTGGGCGGTACCAGTGGGTGGCCCCGGTGGGCAATGGCACTTAGGGCCTCAGTTTGCTCACCTGCAAATGGAGGTGCTGGGTTAGGTGACCCCTACAGACTCTTTAGAGAGTCTTAAGTGTCTCAGAATCACAGTAAGCCCTTCCCGTGGTTTCCATTTGCCGAGACTTAGCTTCCCCGCTTCACTGCAAGAATTCTAAGAGTTGGAAGATACTGAGGTCATTTAGTCCAGCCTCCGTGGGCAGCAAGGGATGCCCCCCTCAGGGTCTTTGAGCCTCTGCTTGCTTCCCTCCAGCTGCCCATCAGGTCAGCACTCATTCAGCTGAGCTCCTGGCCTTTGCCTCTTGGGGGTCCCTCTCCCCAGGTCAGGAACTGTAAACATCAGTGCAGAGAGCGAGCAAAGACCCAACTTGACCATCAAGACGTTCCCAGTCTGGTGAGGCCAAGAGGTGGGCAGGAGTGCCCCGGCCACAGCAGAGCGGAAACCAGGCCAGCCCGTGGAGAGACCAGCAGGCCGGAGGTGCTGGGCAGAGAGGACAGGCACTGTCGTCCGGCTCAAAGTCTGGGGGCC